ACATGTGAATGGGTACCTGGCTATTAAAACGGAAAGATCTTGTCAGTACAGTATTGTTTTAGCACTTGTAAAGAAGCAGCTTGCACTGTATGCTTTACCAGGAAGTTGAGACTGTTTTGGTATGTTATCATGTCTGCTGGGGTAATCACATAGATTGTAAAGCAGATAAAGTTTGCTGTTGAGCAGGAACTTATGCAGATACAAAAGCTATTTATTGTTATTGTAATTATTATTATCACCATTTGTTCCAAAATTATCAAAATTCATTTAACTAGATTTATTTGTGCTAGATATGACTTGAACACAAACAGTAGAGGTTCGGCCTCAGTGTGTCAGTGTCAAGGTTTTCAGGCAGTTCTGTTTTTATAATACGAATACAGTCGAACCTGCTCTTACAGCCACCTGTATAAGACTATCACCTGTAGAAATGGCCACTTCCCATTTCCCCAATCCCTTGCATTTTTAAAAAAACATTATAATGACATTGTCTAAGACAGCCGCTTTTCTTAACAATAGGTGGCCATCCTAGACAGTTTTGACTGTGTATAACGTTTACACAGCCCTCAACCTGAAGTAAAGAACTTACTTAGGCTCAAAGCGCTTTATAAATACAAGTAGCAACTCATAAACAGTATATTATGTTCTGATTAAAACTTATCTCAGTACTGAAAGGCTGTTTTAAAAAGAAAATTTGGGAAGGGGGGGGGGTCTTTTTTTCCTGTTCCCCTGAATTCCTACATGACATTTATTGATCCCTTTTTTCTTTTTTCTCCTTTTGTCTCCTTCTTCGTGGATGGTTGGTGGGTGTCTAGTGTGATTTGCTCCTTCTTTTGCTACATATCTGTTGTCCTTATATCTCCTTCTTTTTTGTGTTTGTTACTCCCTTGTAACACTTTTAATCTTAAGAACTTATATGACCTAGTTGTGTTTTGCAAAAACAAATCTTCTTTTTCCAGGCCGGAGTTTTCGTTGTATGTTGGTGACCTGTCCTGGGATATTGACGACTACGAACTGTTCGCTTTCTTCCAGAAGAGGTACAAGTCTGTGCGAGGGGCCAAAGGTGGGTGGATTACCGTAAACAGAAATGTTTTACACAAAAGTCACTTTCTCCTCTACTGGTTTGTTTGTGTGAAAGTGCCAAAAAAAGTTCATTGGAACATTTTTTGAAAGTGCCCAGTACCAAAAAGTTAATTGAAACATTGTTTGGAAGTGCTAAAAAAGCTCTTTGGAACATTGTTTGAAAATACCAAAAAAGTTAATTTGAACATTGTTTGAAAGTAACAAAAAATTTCATGGGAACATTTTGTGGAAGGGCTAAAAATATTCATTGGCACATTGTATGTGTGAAAGTGCCAGAAAAAGCTCACTGGTACAATGGCAGTCGTTCAAAGAAAGAAAGCCAATAACAGACAGAAATAATAGATGAGAAAGAAATGGGGCTGACCAAGGCCTGCTTCAAACCTGCTACCCTCTTTACAGGGTCATTCAGGAGGCAGGCTGCTTTCACCCTACCTGTCGGAGTCAACCGAGTCTGACTGAGATACAGCGTCCCAGAAAACAGGCACAGATACTCGATATGATAACTTCCCCACTTACAAATGCAGCTCATATTGTATTTTTGGTGCCACAGCGAAGAGCAATTACACCACAGATGCCAGTCAGTAAGAGGAAACTCACCTCTGTAACTTCTGTCAAAAGTAAAATTAATCAAGCACAAGTTGTGTTAACAGACATGAATCTATTCATGTTTTGGTAGGCTATCTCTTCAAAGGATTTTGTCTGTTGGTGTTAGCTGGTGTGACAAGAAACTTTCCACCATCCTTTTGATTGCCCTTTTTTAGCCAGTCTCTTATTCATACTCAAATGTGTGTTTTTTGGTATCATGTTGAGCTATTTCACAAGGCTTCCAGTTAACTTGTCACACTGTGAAGTTGTCACATACCTCCAGTGATCTCATCACATACTCAAACTTGTAAAAAACGTGTGGCGAGTTCACAGTGGATTGGGAGGCAAACCCACACATGTCCACCTTTAATTAATAATTAATATTTTTAAAATACAAAACCAGAGTTTATTCAATCGAAATGTACACGTGTCAATTTTTCTGTTTCAACATTTTAAAGAGAAAACAGACAAACAGGTGCAATATATTAAACCTGTAAAAAATTTGCATGTCCTTACTGTATGCAATAAAGCAAATCTAAAATGGCACAAGATAGCAGGTGTGGTGCAGGTGGTGTGACGAGTTCACTGTTACTTGGATACTTTTTTTTTTTGGTGAACTCGTCGCACGTTTTTCAGCTGTGTCGACTTCACCGTGTGACGAGTTCACTGGTTCCCTTTCACAAATGACCATGGTTCAAATCCCCAATGGGTTGTTTGAGGAGCATTCAAATCTCTCCGCCTACTGGGCTCGGTTCTATCAGAGATATACGTTCACTTCAAAGTCCGTCCTTTTTAGTGCTCTTACAGTTTTGAAAAAGGTGTGAAACTTTTACATTTATGAATGATAATGTCTCTCCCTCAGTTGTGAATGATCAGGCTGGGAAGAGCAAAGGCTACGGTTTTATTCGCTTCTCGGAGGAAATGGATCAACAGAGAGCTCTCATAGAGATGCAGCATATGACTGGCCTTGGCCGCAGGCCCATCAAAGTCAGTTTAGCATCCATCAAAAGGTGACAGACACAGCTTATGTGTTCATTAGTTTGAGTTAAGAGAAGCACATTGGCACAAAAGCAGTCATTTGGAAGCCTGGAAGAAGGAAGGCGAACAGATAGAAACTATAGAGGGATAGTGGAGAAGTAAGGACTATCAGTAGCACCCTCCAACCATATGCAATCAATGTGTGGACGGCACTCATTATTTTTCAGCCTGTGTATGTATGTGGAATCAGTAACGTGGTCTTCTTACTTTTTACATCATGTACATTTCTATCATGATATTCTCAAGTATTGAAATAAAGTTGATAATAATAGGAAGTGTCTTAAAATTGACTGTATACAACTTCAAAATGACATTGCACTTTTAATGAATGATTAGAAATCTCTCCTTATCCATTTTTTCCCCTTCGGTTTAAACGGTGCACTCTCCATTATATCCAAAATAAAAGTGGAACAGCCTTCGTATAGTTGCGCTCATAATGGACTGTAGCCTGCTATAAGGAATATTAGGACATTCCAGTATTGTATTTGGTAGGTCTCTCCTTAGTCCTCAGAAAATGGTTTGGTGAGCTGGAATTGATCTTACTTTTCCGATCCAATGGTCATCTGAGTTTGAGCCCTTTGGCCTGACTAGATTTGAAAAGAATTTTTAAAAACTTTTTATCTGTGAGGGGTGTAAACCCTCTATGCCGGGGCCCGTTTTTGGTACTAAATCTAAAATTGACAAAATGATCACTAAATTGGTTATTAAATCGAAACATGTGAACCTATTTTGATAGTTCTTCTTCTAATGAATGAAAACACGATAAAAGAGACCTGTTTTCGGCAATGGCCAAAAAGCAATTTGATATTGAAGACGTCATAAATTAATGTGCCCGAGCCGCTGTCACTCAGCGGTTCCGATTGCAAACAGCGGCTTGCGGGAGATAAAGAGTTAACTTGTCTGGAAACGCTTTTATTACTTTTAATGACAACAACAACAAGAAAGGGAAATCTCACGGGGACTGCAAATGTTTTGTTTTGTGTTTTTCCTCAGACCAACAGACATCTCCCACTCTGCCCCCCCACCCCCGCAGCCAGCCGCCGCCCCCTCGGGCTCGTACTTCGCCGGCCACTACTCCTGGGGCGGCTACAGCTACCCCTACAACCAGCCCTACTCCCAGCCCACGGCTGGCGGACACGCTCCCGATCACACAGTGAGTTCATAGGTCAATAGGTGATCATAGATCGCTCGTGTTTGAGGGTGGGATCGGTGGTGATGGGAGTCTTATTGATTGAAGAAATTGTTTCCCTTTGGCAACCTTCAGATACTGTGGCAGAAAAGAAGAAGAAATACGCTGTGTCTACAAACAGCCAAAACACCTACATTTGTACATATTTGGGTTACTTCAAATATTTGGAATATAAGTCTGGCACACACATAACGAACTCAGCAGGAAACAAAATTCTCTTTGTGTACAAATTTCGCTATGTGCTAGTACATGTTTGAATACAAAGAATATAATACATGCATAACACAGTACACCCTAAGGGTCTGGACGGGAAGTCTATTCCCAAATCCTAAACAAGGGAAAGGAACCCACCTCCCGTGAGTACAAGCATTTAAAAAACACACTTATAAAATACTAAACAAATTTCCAAAATCCTGAAAAAATAAAAATTAGAAAGAGAAATGAATGTAGTCTCGAAAAAAATTAAACTTTATATACATGTTGTGTCAATGCTGGCATAAAAACACCTACATTGAAAAAAACAACAGTTAAACCTGCTGTAAGGACCATCTGTCTAAGACAGTAACCTGTATAAACGACCACTTCCCTCGCCTTTCCTTGCGTTTTTCTTTTCTATTTTACGATGATACTTCCTGTCCAAGATGGTCGCATCCCTTTGACATTGGGTGGTCCTTTTGGGCAATTTCGACTGTTCTCCCTTTTGGTTTATCTTAACTGTGCCTCTGTTTGATCCACAGGCAGTCCAAGGATACCAAGACAGTGTTCAGAACCCCGCCACTCCTTCAGCCGAAGATGATTCCGAAGTCTTAGAAGGTAAGGGGGAAAAACTGTACAAGATGAGTGAAAATGATGTTTGACATTACTGATTCACCATAGGAAAAAAACCACTCTGTGCTTTCAACAGCTTCTCTGACACAAAATAGAATACATACAACATCAACACATCAGATTTTTTCTCTCTATCTGTCTGTCTCTCTTACTCCTTTCCCTGTTAATGTATACCATGGTGCTCCATCCTATGAAAAGTGACGCACATGATGCAAAGATGATAATCTGCTAAAAAATCTTAGCAATGATAGAGTTATTCTTCAATTCAAAAAGTTTTTTTTTTTTTGTTTGTTTGTTTGTTTGTTTGTTAGTAATGTTAGAGGAAGGTTGCATCTAACGGAAAAAAAAAGGTAAAAAATGGCTCTATCTCTGCTTAGTGTTTTTTCCGTAGGTCATCGTCTCTGCATTACGTGTGTCACTTTTTATGGAATGGTCATGGTATTTCTATAGACAAACAGCGGATTAAAAAAAACATGTCGGAGTAAATAGTTTGTGTTTGCCAGTGCTATCAACTTATTTTTTATGGTTGTGGTTTGGTTAAGTAAATAGTAATTTTAAAATCTGTTCTTTTTCCCCTACCATTACCTCTTTTTCAGATCATCTTTGTTGACTTGTTTATATGCCTGTGTTAATGCTCTAGAATTTGACTCCTGTGTTATACAGTGGAACTCTGATTCAACGAAAACTCGGATTCCACGAAATTGAAGGTCAGGCCCGATGACTTCGTTGAATCCGAGGACCACTGTATGTTGCTGTGGCTGTAGACTGAAGTCAGACTTAAAAATACAGTAGAGTGCCTAAAACTGAAATCTGTGAGACCGCTGGATTTTTGTTGCTTTAGCCGTGTTTTCGGTTGAGAGAGATTGCTCACATAGCAAGGAAAAAATCCTGGGGATTTTATTTTCTTTCTGTTTACTGCTGTTTATGGATTAACTATGTACGGTTTTCGTATACTTCACTGTACTAATAACTGTGTAAGACACCTGTATTTAAAGTCATTTGATATCAATTTTCCTTTCTTCAGACCCTTGTTTGGAAATTAATGTTGGCAAAGAAAACAGAGAATTTATTGATTCGAGTGAGGTAAGAATGTTTTTGTCGTTTGATTTCATTCAAGTCTCTCTGAGTTGCACACATAGTCTTGTATGAACGTACCAGCTAAAATGGCAGGACGTGGAAAAACTATTTTCATTTATATGTACAAATTTCACCATATAATATATGTTCTAAATTATGCAAAGAATACACATCATATTTATAAATTAAGGAAAAATTTTGGACCTGAAATCTGTTTACGAAGTGCGTGCTATACTGTATGAGAAGTAGTCCTGTACTTCTCGTGTGAACTGAAATGGGGCTCATGAGTTTCTACCAATGACTGTCTTTGGACTCTTTGTTATGGTGAGAGTGAGAGAAACACATAAATGCAATAAATCTTTGTGTGCTGCTTGAGAGAAACAAGACTTAAGAATATATATATGAGAGTTTTACCGTATTTGCAACGCAATTAGGTCATATAAGTACTGAAGATTAGAGGTGTTACTTCAGAGTAACATACAAATTAAAGGAGGAGAGATAAGGACATTAGATGTTAAATAGAAAAGAAGGAGCAAAATACACTAGAGCACCCACCAACCACCCACTCTCAGAGTTCATACACTTAGTAAACAGGAGACTCTACCAGTAGCAGCCTTTATTAACCTGCGACTTGAAATAAGTACTGAAGAGTGTTTCCCCTAAGATCATTCCCAATTCTGTTCTATGGCTCATTTTCACCCTCTAACCTGTGAACAACTCTTTTATTTTTAAAAAACATCACTTTTCTTTTGTTTGTTTGTTTCAGTCTTTCTTTCAAGCACTGGAAAATTCAAGATGGCAGCCATTGGACAATATCATGTCTGAAATCCCCAGCTGAAATCCTGAAAATCCATTCCTTGTTGTATTAATGTATTTCATTTGTTGATGTATTGAGGAAAAGTTTGTCGCTTCTGATTTGTTCTCACTACATCTTCATGACCTTCGCTCCCATATGTTTATAAACCTCATTAAACACAATCATAACTAAATGTCTGCGTTGTGGTTTGCTTTTCGGTTCTGTGTTTTGTTAAGGAGCTGCCTCTTGTCTTCTGTTTTTCTCCTCCTGTTCCTGAAACATGAATAAGTAGCTCTGGAAAAAGAGACCAGCGTTTGTGGTATAATGTTCAGGGTCTTTGCTGTTCCATACAGAGAAAATGGGTTCGATTCTCTCAAGGGGAAGTTAATTTATTGAGTTTCTTGGTCTCTGTGCTATAAAAATAATAATGTAGATAATTTCGATAGCGCCCATTCCCATGTAAACACAGCTCTAGGCGCTTTACATAAATGCATCATGTTCGAACAATATTCACACACGCACACACACACTCACACACCTACTTGCTTATCACACACGCACGCTTACACATCGTTACGAAATGAGCACCTACTGTAGTACTGTATCCCATCAATCCAGGGTCAGGGTTGATGGGGCCTGTCTCCTAAGTGATTTTGATAAGGTTGATTTTGGGCATAAGACATTTGTGATCGAGAGAAAGGGAAAGAAATTCTTGGATGTATGACAAACTAATAAAACTAAAACCTCCACTTCTTCTTCTGTAATTCCTTGAACCAGCACTGACACTATCGTTGTGCGTACATGTCACAAGTCTTTTTTAATTCATGTGTTTTATGCTTAGAATATGGAGAACTCTAAGGATAAATAGAGCTTCACACACACATCTGTGTCTTCCACCATGAGCATATTTTCACCTAGTTTTGTTCATTCCAGAGACCCTCATGAACTCGTATATATGAAAAACCAACCATTGAACTTCGACTATCGACATAATTTTCCAAGCAATATGAGCATTTGCATGACCACAGTTTAAATGCTAGTCATTTAAAAAAAAATCGGATAGGCTACCGGACTTGTAACCGTAAGGTTGCGAGTTCGGGGGTTCTAACCGCAGGCCTGACTTTGTATCCTTGGGAAAGGCTCTTTACACGAATTTTCCTCACTTCACTCGGGTGGGAATGGGTACCCGGCCATAGACGGCGAAAGATCTTGTCAGTATGTTAGTGTTTTAGCACTTATAAATGGCCGCTTGCACTGTATGCTTCCCAGGAAGTTGAGATTGTTTCAGAATGCGCTCAGTCTCAGGTCTGCAGGAGTAATTGTATAGATTGTGAAGCGCATAGATAGAGCTTGCTGATGAGTGGGGATTTGCCCTATACAAATGCTATCTATTATTATAAAAGTCTTAGTCCCTAAGTTGTAAGTATGATTAGTTCGAATCTGGCAAACAAAACAAATCCAAATACTGTTAACTTCTGATTGTGACAAAGAGCTTTCTCAAGGACCTCAATGATTTAAGACTTTTTGGTAAACACTCAATCTCGTGATGTCAATCTGTGTTTGAACCAGCGCTGACAGCTTGTTGGTACACGATGTAGTCAAAATGCCACGAAACATTATTTCCAAGTTATAACAACCCCCCCACCCCCGTCCACTTCCGCATGCCCGTCCCCCTTTTTTATGTCTGCATACTCGATACATATGTGTAAAAATAATAATACCAATCTTGGCCTCTTTGACAGTTTTATTTAATAATACATTTGCACAAGCAGATCTTTAACCCTTTGCAGTCACTAGTCACACAACCATCAGTACAAAATGCCCCATCTGGTCACCCAGCCAGGAGAGTGATGCAACTGACTTCTTGCGCCTGTAGCAGAATTGCATCAAATGACCGGAACGGATAATGTTCACAGTCGCATTGTTGTGGCAAGTGACTGCAAAGTGTTAATCAAGTTGGAGTGGAGAGATATAATGCATCACCACAGTAACATTCATCAAGTGGTGGGAAGAAGTGAGACAGAGGAAAAACTGAGGGGAAAGAAAAAAAGTAGGACTTGTCAGTAGCGCACTTTAAACACCCGCAGCAACGGATCTGACGTGGTTTTAAACCAGAAATCGTAAAAATAGTATTTGAGCAAAGCTCACATAATATTATAATTATATCCATTTGTGTCACGACGCAGTGGAATCAGGCCCTTGTCAATTTTTGAGCATATAGATTGGTATCATCTTAAACTTAAAGGTTATACATTTGTCTTGCTTTCGATGAAAAAAAATGTGTGTGTGCCTTTTGAAAGGTACCAAAAGTCGGATTTTAACCCTTTTGAGGTAAGGGTTGTACTTGTACCGAAAAGGACATTCAATGCTGAACACCGTGAATTTTTAATTTTTGAGATATCTCAACTAGTTTTTGAGATATATTGCACATTTTGCGAGGTAGGGTATAAAGATCTAATTTTGACAAAATTAGCTTGTAAGTTTAGAACACATACAAACTTGAAAAAAAAAGATGATTCAATTGTTTGTAATGTATTTATTCATGGAAAATTAATTTCCAATTCAGTATTCAGTTGACATCAATATTATGGTTAGAATTCAATGGTAAAGCATAGCGGGGAAGAGAAAACATGCTTCGAGAGTAGATTTTAACACCTTTTAAAAGCAGTTTCCATTATCATTTTAAAACATACCCTACCCTCAAAATGATTCAAAATAAAACATTTAGCAGCCAAATCAATGAAAACTCTTTTAACACATTGTTAAAAAATGGTGGAACTATAATTTTTTTAAGAAAACACATTTTTGTCAAAAAAAGGATTTTTGTCATTATCAGCATGTACCTCAAAATGGTGTGTGGCGACTTTTGGTACCTTTCTTTAGGCACATACACAAATATCCATTTATCTTGAATAGAAGTCGAGATAGTTGCGATTGAAGCAGGTGGGGTCACCTGTTTTCAAATGTAAAATTAGCGAGAAAATGGCCGCCAAAGTTTGGTGACTTCCATACAGTTTAAGAAGGTGTTCAGCCAAAAAAAAAAAAAGAAAAAAAAAAGGCCAAACTGGCAGAACATGCCAATTTCTTGGATTCATTATTTTGATGAGCACCTGATTTCACCACGATGCCTCACATTTGGATGACAGATCTTGGGAATATACACTGTCTCATAAAGTAAAGTATAACCCGAATGCTCATCATGTTCAACTGAACAAAAGTTTTATTGAAAATTGTATAAACAATAAAGGTAGAAGCAAACTGGTAAAAATTTAGTCTAGACAGCATACTCACAATCCCACAGTTTCATTTGAAAAATACACAAGATCATCCAACACCCATTAACAATTCTAATTAAAAATCAATGCACTGCATAAGCCAGTCTAGATTGTACGTAAAATGGAAATGTTCTTGAAAACTTGGGGAAAAGAAGTAACAATAGAGATTAACAATTGATCACAACATTAATTCAATGATCCTTACAAATGAAACTTTACATTTTGAAGTACACATGTACTGCACATATATTGGAATATCAGAATTTGGCAATATACATACAAATGATCCCAAGCAAAGTCCTGTTCAACATTGGAATAGCACTGAAAAAAATATCTGCATATTTGGAAAAGAAATGTTCTTCTTTTTTGATACAGCTGCCAAGCAATGTATGCTGTTCAGATTCCTGAAAATAACAAGTTTCCTGATTATTAACATGGACAGAGATCTTTTTTGACAAAAAAGTCAGTAACGCATAGAATCAGGCTAACAGGACAACAAATTGTTGGTAGCATCTGAAACCAAAGTGCCTTTGAGTTCGAGAAAAGAGAAGTATATTTTCTACTTTGACAGATCAACTACCAGTAAGGGCATGGAAAATGCAAGACAGAAAGACAGGAACAGCAGAGGGAAGGAAAGAAGAGGACCCACGAAACACCTCCTGACATGCACAAATAACAGTATCAAAGAGCAAAGGAGGAAACAGCCTAATACATTAAAGATGCTCTGTCTTAAGTTAGATCTATATATTGAAAATGGAAAGTTGAATTATAACTTAAGTAAATGCTAATAAAAATCAATGTTTTGGAAAAACTGCAATACAGATATAACTGTCTTAGGGCTCCCAGATGACACCTAAACAGCAACCACAAAAAAAATTCTAGACAAGCAAAATACGTTGGCAAACTGTAAAACTGAGAAAACCACAGACAAAACATCCAAGCATAATGAAAGACAGCAACAATAAAACGGAATGCAGAAATCAAAATATAAATTAAAATAAGTAAAAAAACAAACAAAACAAAATCAACACAATTAATTAATAAGAGCATTTGTATCCTGCCTTTTCCCACAACATGGGCCCAAGGCGTACATATGAGATTAAAAAGGAATTCATACTAACACCATACAAATTCATCATGTGCGCACTTTTTGACAGCAACATTCTTTCAGACAATAAAAAATGCCCATACAAAAAGGCAACATGCTGTCCATTAATTAAGAAATTTCTTAAATAGATGTGTTTTGAGTCCCCTTTTGAAGGTATCACAAGTTTTATTTCGCTTCTCAAATCATGAGGGAGAGTGTTCCAAACTGCTGGCCCAGAAAAAGAAAAAGCTCTCTCACCATATTTCTTCAGTGACACACGAGGTGTTGAAATTAGTCTAGAGCCACTGGATCTTAGTTCACATGTTGGTGTGTATGGTACAATGAGTTCTTGAATGTATGTGGAAGACTGGTTAGTTTGACCTTTGAAGCATAGTAGTAGTAGGGCTAACTTATATTCAATTCTCGCTTTCAGTGGAGGCCAATGGAGCTCTTTAAATAGGGGAGTCACATGATGGCATTTTGATTGCTTTAATACTAGCCTGGCAGCATTGTTTAGAATGCGTTTGAGTTTTGCAATTTTTTCCTCAGGTAGGCCAGCGAACAGTGAATTGCAATAATAATCAATGCGTGACAAAATGAAGGCAAACACTAGTTTTTTGGTGGATTCAGTGCTAAGAAATTTCTTTATGTGAGCAATTCTTCTCATTTCTAAGTATGAAATTTTACATAGATGGTTAAGTTGGGTCTCCAACATGAAGCAAATTGTTGAAAAGCGCAATGAAATCGCATGAAAATAGAAAAAAGAGCAATCGATAAACATGTCAAAGATTCAACAGTTTTGATAACAGAACAAATTTTTGAAAAACAGTGTAAAAAGGCAAAATTCAGTGTCACCACAAATATGCCCAAAGCATTTTTAGTGTATGTCTGATCATAGTTCTTAAAAAAGGCCAGAGGGTTTCGACTTTCGTAGTTGAACTTCACACAAGAAATGCGGCCTGAATCATATAAGGCAATCAAGCAAGCATACATAGTATAACACAGATAGCTCGAATTGGTCGGGACCGGCCTCGGTAGTTCGAGGGATCCGTAGTTCGAGGGATGTCTTTTAAAGGTAAAGGAGAATAAAAAACGGGACCGAAGGCACAGTTTGACGGACACTGGATTTTGAGTCTTCTGTGTTTAACTGTATTTACTTCTCCTTCCCCCTCGCCGAAAGAAATGGCAACGACCAATACACTTTCCCTTTTTCTTTCAAGTGAAAACATACCTTAACTTAAATCAGGGGTAGCCCTCTGTACTTTAAAAAGAAAATTAACCCCTCTTCTTTTGTTGTTTTTGAAAACGGAATTCTCTATAAGACACAATGAACTGTCGGTCAACAGCCAGAGGCCACAATTTAGATAATTAAGGAGGTGGGCTTACGACCCTGCCTGTCAGGGCCAACTTGGGCTGAGAGGGATACAACATCCTAGCAGAAAGACAAGAGATACTGGATAAAAATTCTCCACACTCGGAAATTGAACTCAGGTGTCCTGCGGGTGACAACGAAGTGCCTAACTACTACATCACACGCGCCGGTAACCTGCTCTCTCAGCTACTTTAAAACATACATGTGGGGTAAATGGGGGTACAAATTATAACAATAAATTAATTACAATCATATATTGACCCACATTTGACTGATAGGTTAGTTTAAGTACCGTAAGAGTTTTATGGCACTTGCAACACAATAGGTCATATAAGTGCCAAAGATTAGGGGTGTTACAAGAGAGTAACAGACACAAAAAAGGAAGGAGAGGAGATAAGGATGATAGATGTTGGATAGGAAAGAAGGAGGAAACCATACCAGAGCACCCGCCAACCACCCATTTATTTAACTGTGCGTTGCAATTTTGATGTAGTAGATGATCAAATAACTAACAACACGACAATGAGCATTGCAGCAATAAGTGATTTCTTTTGAGTTAAATGTATTTTAATTTGTGTGTTGTCTATAGGCCAGAAAAAGACAAAACAAGAACTGGTAAAAATGGATGAAACTTAAGAATGGACATTCAGCTTTTGGGCAAGTAAGTGTGCATATTTTAAAAAAATAAGGAAAAAAAAATGAAGAAACGGAAACATGAAAACAGAAAATACGAGCACTTGGGAACACCAGAAGTTTAAATACACTATAATCTTGAGCAAAGCAAAGAAATATGAAAGAAAAAAAAAATTACTGTTTTGCACTGACAGCAACATGAGTTTAAAAGTCAGGGGCTATCCCCTTGTAAAGTATATAATATAGATATATATTCTCTCAGATCTGGAATGATTATAATTACCCACTGTGACAATTTAAATATATAGGATATAGCTCTCACTCACACACAAAAACTCAAGAGTATATGAAAACACTGTAAATCATCTGTGAATTTCAGCAGCTTTTGTGTATAGTCATCAAATAACTTCACAAATCACAAGGCCCACACCAACAAACAGTATGTACATGTCTGGAAAATAAAAACAAAGTACACTTGCTGGTTGAAATTTTTTTACAATTATATATGTTAAAAATTTGGAATGCATTGATGAGTAAAAATCAGAAAACGAAAATGGGAATACTAGTTCAGAGCAAATAAGTCCTGAAAATAAAATAAAATGAGAAACAGAAGTAAACGTTTTTTCGACATTCTTCATATTGTACAAGATGGTGTAACGTTGCATCAGAAAAATTCACGGTCAATATCTGACTATCACTATCACTTCTGAAATGAAAAAGTAAACAAGTTAGAAACATTATTTTCATTTCTTTTGCTGCTGAAGGCTATCTGGGTGTACCTACACACGACAATCTTTTGCCATTTCCCAGTGCACAATGATCTCGGGGGGATGAGGAGAAGCAGCATTGGGATATGTCCCAGAACGGAATGAATATATTTGTCGGTAAGGGAAATTATTGGTCAGGATTGGTACCTCAGCCATTAACAGCAGTGCCTACTTGTGGCATTTAGATAACTTCGAGTAAAAACATGTACGTGATCCTGGGTCTAAAACAGAAAAACAAATATGTTTTGATCTCTAGATGACAAGTGAAATTAATTCTTTATAAACAAACAGTTCAGTCCATACAAAAAAAAGCATACATAATATCACTGTTTTTAACTTCACAATTCACCAGAATTGAACCCCCCCACCATAAATAATGCCCCTATTTCACCCACATTGTAAGAGACATACCAAAATAAAAAAAATCAGCTTGTAAAATGATTATGGGTGATGACCTCTGGCATCTATGACTTCAACCAGCACATTTCTCGAAGGACCTTCACATTCTTTCAACTCCCCCAGGGTTTTCGGTGGTGTGCCTGACCACATGAGCCGAGTGGTATACGTTTCCTGCGGGTACGCATGGCCCCCCGCCACCCGACAGACTTGGGAGGCACAGTTTTGGTGAGAAGTGAGACTTCCATCTAGGAGTACCTGTGAGGGGTGACTTTCTTCCAGATGAGTGGCGATGTCGTCGATGGTGGTGTCAGGCCAGGAGACGCCAGCTTGCTTCACCATGGCCAGGAGAGACTCTACGAACTCTGCCCCTTTTGCCGCGGCCATGATGGCTGTGTTCAGCGATCGGTGTTTCATCCTGTACTGACTGAAATGCCGAGTGGCGACCACAGGAGCCTTGAGGGATGATGGTGGGAGAGGCTTTATGAAGATCATGTCTCCGAAATGAGACACTCCACCGTGAAGCAACAGATTGTACAGAGAATACACAATCGCGCCATGTTTAGCCGAATATTTATCAAATGCAGCAGTAGGCACAAACTGGGGGTTTAGCTCATCTGTTGAGAGTAGTTTGCGCCAAAGATCTCCGGTAGGGAACTGTGGGCCATGGAGAAAAACTTGTTCCACTTTTCCTTTGACGTACGCACTTTTGATGCTGGCATAAATTACTGGTGTTATTTCTTCACCATCACGAAGAATTATATGTACTGAATTAGGAATCTCTTCCGTAGAGGATAAACTCACTTGAACCGGTTCTGGCGAATGGTACAATAAATTTCTAGAAAACCTATAAAACCTGGAGTCCCTCCCATAAATATTTTCAGGGGTGATATAAGTATTCATATCAATGCACTGTGTCTTTTGTGATGAAGGACCAATATTAAACTCCGCCATTGGCTGGCATGCAATGACCACATGACCGGGACCTCGACTGATATGGTATGGTTCTGAGCCCCCAACAAGGAAAATTTGAGCTTTATTCAGTGATTTAACAGGTGTAGAATCTACTTTACTGAGAGATGAGTTCACGGAATACGATTCTTTTATCCTTTTCACCAAAGAAGATCTTGTTAAATTATATATTGCAACATTTCCGAGGATGAAGATGCCGTGAGGGTCAGGGAAGTCTTCCGAGTCAGTGCTGACTCCAGATGACAAAGTGTTACGACAGACTGTCGGATCTTTGAGAGGCTGAAGAGAAAGCATTATCACATCCCTTTGTAAGTCTTCTAGCCATCTCCAGTAGCCTTTCGGGTCAGAGCGAGGCAGAGTGCGATAATGAAAAATGATGCCATCAGGTTGAAGTTGATGCAAAACACTCCGTACTGACAGATAATGGGACAGTTCAAAATGTCCATCTACACACCAGATATAATGCACAACCAACGACGGTAACCCTGGTATCAGAACTCCAGCTCTGTCTTTGGGCTCGCTTGTTCTGTTGCTCTCGGCAGAAACGACAGCCAGCTGAGGATCTTGCGAAGAGTCTCCTCTTCCCTGCTGGGGAATTTCGTGTGGTGGAAGTTGTATGTCGTTGCTGAGAGCATCCCACACCCACGAGGAGCTGTGAGGGATACTTTCCACCAGGTAATGATTTCTCAGGATCAAGATCCACTTGTAGTGGTAAACCTGAACTGCCAGCAGAGCAAAGAGAAAGGCAGGCACACAGGTTGCCACAACTGTCTTGATGAGATGATCCGTGCGAGGCATCTTCTCATTTTCTAGAACATTCCGAAGCAATAGTTTTCTCAGGTGCTGGCTTCTTTATTGAACTGTAACAAACATAAAACAAACAGAAAAAAAGTGAACATGCAGTGTAATAGTACACTAAGTATAACATATATATATATATATATATATATATATATATATATATATATATAAAATGAGCATTTCTGAAAACATTACCCCCCCCCCCCCCAAAGGGGACAAATACAGTATATATATATATAACACGAAAGGTTGAACAGAGAAGACTCCAAATCATGCATCCGCCATACTGTGCCTGCAGTCCTGTTTTTTCCACCCGGGGTGAGAGTTGATAGTATTTTTATACCCATTTTTATTCTCATCGCGGGTGAGGATAGCCACTTCCCTTTCAAACCCCACCTCCATCTCCCCTCTAAATTCCCCTTGCGGCTAAGACAGAAAATGTCAAAGAGAGAAACAATGAAAGTGGCTATTCTCACCCGCCCGGAAGTTCTCGCAAGATCAACTTCTCCCCTCTTCTCTCTCTCTCTGTCTCTTTCTGAATACTGTCTATCGGTGTGGACGATCAAATTGACCAAAACAAAGTTAAAAAATGATGTTAAAACACAAAAAAGTAAATTAATTTGGTTGTCTACAAAGATACTACGGCTATTTAACTTTTCGAATCGAGTCGAACTACGCGGGTCGCCATTTTGTTTTGCCCGGAAATTCTCGCGCTACTCCTCTCTCTCTTTCTCTCTCTCTCTCCACTGCCCACAGACAAAATTGTACGCTTTTAGTAGGCTACAGTTGTAATGGAATGTTTGTTCACGGCACAGAATTCTACAATTTTTCTGTTATCACAGTGTAGAATTCTGTGGTTTAGGGTGAACGCAAAATTTGGTGAACACGCACCGGGTGAGAATAGCCACAAGACTCGCCTGCACTATTCTCACTCCGGGTGAGAATAGAGGTAGCAAAGAATTATTTCTGGCTCCCTTACGATTTCGTCTTACACAGGTTCGACTGTAGATCTATTAGTATTATTACTAATATACTAGTCCCCTACTAGATCTAAATCTAGATCTAAATCTATCTAGATCTACATTTAGATCTAAATCTAGAGATTCCATTACAAAAGTACAAGGAAGGCGAGGACGTCAGGACGGTCAAAAGAGTAGATCTTAGCATCGAAATATTCTCTGTCTCTGTCTACTTACACTTACATGCACACGATAAAAGCGAACAGTTCCCATGCAAAAGTATGCCGTATGGCAAATCTGATGAATTCAAGACCTAAAATTCATCAATTGTGCAAATACACCCATTCCAGCCTTCTCTTGGCGTCTCTTGACTACCGATCGTTTTGTTGATGGGGGTTGTGGGATTGTCGGTATCTGGTTTTTTGTTTTATTTCGTTATCGACAAATAAGAAATAAAGATTCTAGTTTTGTAAAGATTCCCATGTTCTATCGCGTCGTTTAGGCCTGGAATGGGAACAATTTATCAATAAATGGGAAAAAAGTACTCCTGTTCCACGTAATAAGACGTGATACTAGAAAGACAGAAACAATTATATTTTATTTTAAAAGTTGAGCTACAGTGGGGTTACCTTGGTTCCAAGTATTAATTATAAATCACATCCATTCCACTATTCTACTCCTAATTTACCGCCATAGTCCAAATGTAACTTCCTGTTTGGAAGCGCTGTACTGCCAGTGGCCTCAATACTTTGTTGTGTGTTTACACTGGCAGAGGCGTGAGAGTACAAATCAGTCTGCTAGAACTTACACCGGTACCGGTTGATTGTGTTTTATCTTTCAAACAAAGTTCAGAAATCAACCAAAACAGCCCTTTTGCTGGAGGCCCTGGAAAGTTTACAGAGTGCTTCGAGATTCATTTATTAGTTTTAGATCTGTGTGCTTGCTGAACAAACTGACGAAAATGGGCGCAGAAGACGAAGTCTTTAAAATTGGCAAAAAGCTTGACAAATTAGTGTCGAGCGAAACTTCTGTAAGTAGGAAGTCATTGTCAATAGTTTGGGTTCCATAGTTTGTAAAACTAACACAGTAATAAATGTTACCCTAACTAAATGTTTTTTTTTTTGTAGGAGTAGGGTCTAGACCTAGATTCTAGATATATTAGATCTAGAATTCTAGATCTAGATGATCTGTAGTTTCGTTTGTTAAAAGTCCACGATCCATTTCAAATTGTTTACATCCTGACCCAGAGAAGAAATCCAGAAGTCTTGATGGCCAAATAGGCAACACAAAGAACAGGATGCAACCTAACTGCAAAACATCAAATTATGGTAAAATTCAGCCCCCCTACTCTTGACTCTTGGGGCCCAAACAGGCGAATAATAATTGGGGGGTGGGAACTGCCGAAAAAGCTCCATTCTTTAATTAGATTTTAATGTTTTGGCTTTAGTTTTAGTGTAGTAGTGTAGTCTCACGCTTAGTTCACTCCTCAACAATTAACAATTACCTGGCAATTCAGGGTCTCTGATGTTCAGCTTTGGACTTAAACGAACGAAACTACAAAATCACCTAATGGACCGCCTATCGACAGCATGCAAGGTCTTTAGCTTGGACGGCTTGGTCATCAGTGTTAAGAAAACAGTCATCCTTACTCAAGAAGGTGCAGAGCAGAGGTTGAACGACAAGGAACTTGAGACAGTGGACAAGTCCTGTTACCTGGACCTGGGGACTACCATCAGCTCTACTACATAACTTGATTTTATGAGATCAACATCAGGATAGAGAAAGCAGCAACAGCTTGTGGAAGGCTTACAAAACGAGGATGGGAAAACAAAAGATTATAATAATAAAGATCATTTCTATAGAGCCCACTCCCGAGTGAACACAGCTCTAGGCGCTTTACATAAATGCATGTTATGAACAATACTCACTCATTCATGCCCATCCACACACACACTCACACACTCAAACACACCCACTCAAGTACACATGTGCACAAACATCGTGCATGCCAAACTGACGCACACACACACATGCACACATCTACTTGCTTATCATACGCACACGCTTACACATAGTTACGAAATGAGTACATATATATACAAATACATAATTAAAATAATATATGTATGTGCAATTCGCAAAATACATAATGTATGGAAACATTGTCATTTACATGACATTGTATTGAACATTAATCGACCATCAAAACAAAGATCAAGATTTACGAGTTCTACTGTAAGATGTCAGAGACTCCCTTGGAGGGGTGCGTCACAAATGACTCTCAAATCTACTAATAATTTCTCCAATTTTCGCAAATTGCGGCTAAGCTAAAATCGAGGGAGGAATTCTGTAATGAGCGACCACTTTGAAATATAGAGTATATTAGTAGAGGGTTAGTGATAGGGTTAATGTTCAGGTTTGGGGTAGGGGCTAGCTAGATCTACCTTGCTTTTTAATTGTGCTTGTTGGAGTGGTCGCTCCTTCCAAAAGCGATGTAGAAATGAGTATGGCATAGTCTAAAAGCATAAAAATTTACTTTCGTTTCGCTTTTGGAAATAAATTTGGCGCACTTCCAAGTCAGGTCAATGTGTCAGACTTAAGCTGACATTCCATATGCCCGAAAAACCGATGCGAACTTCGGGTGCGAATTTCGTGTACGAAATTCGGGTGCGATGAAAAAAGAGCCCTCCTTCCATATACGCGAAATTCGTATCCGTCATCTGACTGAAATCAAGGCACCAGTTCAGTCAGAGCAAGCACTCTACGTTGAAAACAAGAGAATTTTGCTGTTAAAACTCCTGTTCCTACGAAAGCAGCTTTAAATTGCTTTGTCCAGACTTGATGATGGTCCTTCCTTCATAAGCTTTGCTTTCTTGGGTCGTTTTCTTTTCAAAGCTTCGGTCCTATCACCGACAGCGCTGGCTGATGTGGCTGCGGCACAGACAGCAATCTTAAGGGGTGGGGGGGGGGGGGTGGGGGGGGAGGCTACACCTGGAGGCTATCTCGCTTATTACTGGACCGAATTTTAATTTTACCACATTTCACACATATAACAAGCATAGAAAGGAGTCTTGAAATCCGCTATCAAATTTGAGAAAAAAGTTTCGTTTCCATGGATACGCCGCCATATTGGATTTTATTGACATGTCTTACGTAATGAATACCGCACTTATCGCTCATGGAAATTGATTTTTTTTTTGCATGCGTGTTCACAAACATTAGATCTAAAAATTTGTCTGAAGTTTTTTTCCTAATCGAATTAGAAAATCTTTTATGAATTTTTTCCTGAGGTAGCATTCAAGTTTGCGAAAAATCCGTGAAAATTCACACTCCAGACACCACCAACAAAAATCTATTCCATATATCAAAAATTCAACAGACAAATTTTTAGTATTACTTCTTCTCTTCATTCTGTGAAAATTTCATGAAGATTGGATGAAAAATGGTGGAGTTATTTAAAAAAGTATAGAGAAAAGTAGCATTTTGAGAAAACGGCCGATAAAGAAAAATAAAATGCTGACTTTATGAGGAAATGGCGGTTACAAACATGCCCAGTATGGGAAAAAATACGATTTTTGGGGGTTCTTATGCCATGAAATAGTTGTAGGAGAGGCTGAGGAAGCTAAAAATGCCTACAACTCAAATTCCATGATTTTGAGCCGAATTTTGATTTTGGGGGTGTAGCCCCCGAAGCTGACATTATAATTAATGTATGTTAGAAGTTATATTCAAGTGCATTTAATTAAGGAGGGAGGGGGGTGTAAGTGAAATGCTATTTTTAGTTATTACATGATTTAAACGATAAATGATAGCATGGATAGATTACATAGACTCCCGAAAGTTTCCCACAAACTAAAAAAAAAAAAGTGGTTGCCCTGCAAATGACAGCCACCTTGAAAATAAACACTTCTTTTCAGTCTTGGTTTTAACACTTCTCTCTCGAACCAAGGAAATTAACATTTCGACGTTTTCCCCACTTATCTAGTGCTTCTATCATGTTCTATGCTGCTTCGTTCCTTTGAAGTAGATTTGGCGGGGAATAAGCCCCGCCCACTCCACGAAGAATTCGCATGCGAAGAAAAAAGTTTCGCTCCCTCGTGCGAAATAAAATCTTCGCATGCGAATTTCGGACTCGGCCATGCGAAATTCCGGTATATGGATTCACCCAATGACAAAAACGTTGGTGCGAAAAAAATAATTCGCAAGCGAAATTCGCACCTGAAGTTCGCATCGGTTTTTCGGGCATATGGAATGTCAGCTTTAATTGCGCGATTTTCGACCACCATTGTGCACTGTCTGTTACCATTTCTAACCGGTGCTAGATTTCTTTTTTTTTTTCTTATCACATTAGAAAAACATATTTCTTCCGTGTTCTAGCCATTTTTTGAGAAAATCTAGCATAATATGTCATTTAAAATGAAAAAAAATTGTCAGACTTGCGAACATCGGGAAAGGCACTAGATCTAAGTCTAAATCCTTACGTCTGTGACACTGTTACGCAAAATATCTGATTAAATTACTGGTCCCAGAAGAAAGTAAGAAAATTGAAAATTTGCATTAATAATAAGTTTTTCCTTTTTGCTATATTCTTGTCTTGTTGAATCCAATGGAAAGTAATTTTCATACTTTCATCCCAAAAAACTTTTCTGGCTATCCAGTGACATTCGGTAATAAGTTGTCACTATTGTTTTCAAATTATATTTTATAAAATGGAATGGAGTACGTCGGTGCTTTTAACTCAGAATTTGAAATTTCAGAAGGTTGACTGGTTGTATACATATATGACAAAAGTATTGCCAAAATGGTATAGAAATTGGAGAAAAACTGAGACAGAAGCTTAAGATTTTGTGCTTTTCATTAGTAAGCTAATGAGCAAATGATATTCTTAAAAAACGTGCAACCACAAAGTGGTAGAGAAGGTATATTGACGTGTGTTACTAGTGGGTAAGTTTGACCATTTGACCACTCTTGTGATGTATGTTTCAGTAAAAAGAGAATCTAGATCTGTCACTTTCTCATAAATTCTGACAAATTAAGGTAAAAGTTGTATTTTTTCTTTGCTTTTTTTTTTCTTTTTTTCCCGCCATTTGTCTCATTTTCTTTGATTTTTTTTCAATTTCCAGGAGCATACAACAGCTCTAGATCTTTTGAAAGCTTTGAGAGACACAAAAATGACCCTGGAGGTTCTGCAGGTAAATCTTACTTTATTATCTGAAGATATTTATTTTTTATTTGTAATTCTTGTGATGAAGTATGTATGAGGTTTTTATTAATTAAAGATTATTAATGACTAATTTATGAAAATGAGCTGAACCTGAACCAGTCAGGATCAGTGATATCATACATCTTTTTCCTTTGTCATCTGTTACAGCCTTATTGTTGTTGTTTTTTTCAGCACTTTCACTTATAGGTACAATATATTTTTTATTTTAGAAATAGGGTTCAATTTAAGCTGTGTAATAGACTGTGGAGTCTGGTATTTCCTTGAAATTTAGATCCAGATGACGGGTGGTTAGAGGGTGCCTCAGATAGTTCTTACTTCTATTCCTGTCCCAGTACATGTATTTATTTCCCTTATCTTTCTGTTACTGTGATCATTGTGCAGATGTGCTTCACCCCCCGGGGCAGTGCTACTGACTGAAGTGTCTTTAGGCCATTCCCAAAGGGGGGGACATTAACCTGTTCTTATGCACAGTAGAATTGTAAATGGGCTGGTTCATCAATGCCACGCTCATAACTGTGCCTGATCCACAACTGGGAACTGCTGCGTTTTCTTTCCTAATCCATACTATTGTCATTTTCCTCTACTTTTTTTGTATGTTTGTCACGCTCTTGTGACCCGCTATTTCCGGGGGTGCCTTGAAAGTCGAAACAGACTTTGTGCTGTTGAAGCTAGAGAGGTGAGCAGAGTAAGCCAGATTCCCTGTAAAGACTTCTCTGTTGACATCCACCCCTTGGCGCTCATATGACCTTATGCCGTTGTGAGTGCCGTAAAACCTCTACTAAATTTTTTTTTAAAAATGTGCTTCTCGTTGCTCAAAGACTGTCTCAGGCTTATGCAAGTGTGTGTAAATTTTCCTCAAACACCCTTAGAACCCTTCCTTGATGTGTAGAGAGAACAAGGACACATTTCTTTTTGAGTTTCCAAAAATCTTTTTGTTGAAGTGAACGGATAGTAGTGAAGTTAAAAAAAGACAACATATGGCAGGCAGATTCTATGTTTCTTTGCAGTATTATTTAGATTTGAAAATTAACGCAATCCTTTTTACATTGAATAAGAGGGACCTAGTTGTTTCAGGTACATATATCCCGATAATTAAATTTAGAGGATGATGTATATATATAAATTTTGTGCTCAACTTTTTGAGTGATTATGGATTAGACTACAGGCATGTACGGTATCTGTCCTCCTTGCAGAAAACAAGAATTGGAATGACAGTGAACAACCTGCGTAAAGCCAGCAACAATGACGAGGTTGTGTCCCTGGCCAAAACATTGATAAAGAACTGGAAAAAGCTGTTACCGGCAGGTTGGTGTCAATTGTTTTGCCTTACTTTTATTTGAATACTGAACGTTGATTGAGTTTGAATGTATGCCGAGTGAGCCGATATATTTTGTTTGTTTGTAAGATTTGACCTTCTCCTCTAATGTTTTGTAATAGAAAGTGCATTTTATCAGTGATCATAATCTTCCTCGGATCCCCGGAAATCCGGGATTTTCAGTCTTCTCCGCTTTCCTCCCAGTTCCTCCTTTCCACGATTCGTGTGGTTCGCACAAATTAATCTTCTCGACAATATGATGCCTAGCGATTGCCCCACACAATCCGCTGATGTATGCGATACTCGAATTTCATGGTGCTTCCGTCATCATGAAACTGCTGGAGACTGCATTGTTAGTGTGGGGCGTATTTTAGTTCGATTAGCACCATTTCACGTGCATGAGCCCTCACGAAAGCATTCATCATGAAGGAACTGAGAAAACTGGATATTTCTGAATAAAAGAAATTGATCTGAAAATCAAAAACTAATTTAGATTTGTGTGGTGAGAGGAAAGTTTGTCTACAGAATTAGAATCAAAGTGCTCTGGTGTGGTTTGCTCCTTCTTTCCTATCAAACGTCTATCGTCCTTATCTCCCCTCCTTTTTTAATGTTTTTTTTTTACTCTCTTGTAACACCTCTAATCTTCTGGCGCTCATATGACCTTATGCAGTTGTGAGCGCCGTAAAACCTCTACTAAAACAAAAAATCCCATAGAATCAAAGGTTACTATTTGTGTTGGTGATTTTATTATTAAAGTAGAAGTTCCTCTAATTAAAATACCACCCCATCCAAGCCAGTTGAGCTGTTTTCCCTGTCCTCAAAGGTATGTTAATTGTTAATTACAAGATTTCTTTTGAAACTGAAATTGATGTTAATAATTTCTATGGGTGTGGTAGGGTCTCATAATTTTTTTTCGCGGGTTCGGTGCTCCTGTCGGTGTGTTTTCCTCCTTTTTGACTTTTGCTTATTATGATCACTGATTTTATAAGTTGATATAGTCTAGCATGAACATGTACGTGGCGGAATTTGTACATAAGGAAAAAATTTCTGCATCCCGCTCATTTAGCTAAGTGCGTGCTAGACTGTATTCGGCAAATTTGCCTTTGTTTGTCAACGTTATCGATCCAGGTTGGTCAGCAAATGTTAGATTATCCCCCATTAGTGTTTTCCGACAGCACAGATGTATAAAACTTAGATTTTGACTCATGCACAAAGGCTGGTGTGTTTGCTTGTTTGTCTGGTTGAATAAAATTTTTTTAATACTCTGATCCTAAATGGTGGAGAATAAACAGTAGGAAAGAATGATTAAAGGCATTTTTGTGAGTATTTGAAAGTATCGGTATTGAGTTCTATTGTTAAGCTTGTCGGATGGTGTTTTGTATTTCTCTATGAGTCTGCGCTCAGTATCAGAACCTGTTTTTTTAGATTCTTCCTGTTGATCAGACATCTCCATATTTTATTTTTCAACGTGTTAACAATTCCCAAAGGGGGGATATTAACATGTTCTTATGCACAGCAAAAATGTAAATGGGCTGATTTATCAATGTCATGCTCATACTGTGCCGGAACAACATAGGGGGAACTGCTGCTTTTTCTTTCCTCATCCTTACAATCGTCATTTTTCCTCTACTTCTTTTGTATGTTTGTTACTCTCTTGTGAACTGCTATTTCCGGGGTGCCTTGATAGTCAAAGCAGACTTTGTGCTGTTGAGACTAGAGAGGTGAGCAGAGTAAGCCTTATACCCCGTTGGACTTTTCTGTTGACATCCACCCCTTGGCGCTCATGATCTTATGCAGTTGCGAATGCTGTAAAACCTTATTAAAACTAAACGTGTTAACAGACAGCCCTGGGGGTATGAGCAGAACGACCTCACGATCTTCGGGCGATGCAGGAAGTCAGAAGATGGACGAGACATCCAACGACGGCACAGAGGAGGGAAAATCTGACGGCAGCAGCGGCGACAAGGACACAGAGAGGGACAGCTCCAGCAAGCTGGCCAACACGGCAGATGCCATCCGGCTCAAGTGTCGAGAGCTCTTGTCCAACGCCCTCAAAAGCAGCGGTAATGAACCTTTTCTCTTCGTTTTGTGCTTATTTTAATGACAGGCCTGCCAACCTTCCCGAATTTCCCGATTTCGGAGCCGCCCTATATAAGAATATTATTACAATTAGGTGCGCAAAAATGACGAATGAAATTGGCGATACCAGAACTCTTGTGTTGCTAAAATATTCTTTTTAGGCGTGGGTCCTTTACTGTTATGTGGTTCGGCTACATATAATGCTCAAGTTAACCTGCCAATCGAATTTGCGCACTACGTTTACTCGATCCTGACTCGGTGTTGCCTTGTTGGCCATAAAATAAATATGAATAAGTTGAGTGTGACAGGAATATGACCTGTATCACAGCGTGTCACGCCGATTTTCCCTATTTTACATTTTCAAAAGTTGGCAGGCCAGTTATTACTTTTATCGAATGCAGGGTGTCTGGTAAAGTGGTCGTAAAAGTCGGATTTTGGTTTAGCACTTTAAAGAAATGCAAGGTGTCTAGAAAAAGGGTGGGAAAAGGGTAAGATTTTTATAGGTTGATCAGAGAGAGTACCTGAGATCGATAAAAGATGTGGGTTGATCGAGAGGAATAAACAAGATTAATTACTGCTTTCTGGTGTAAGGTTAGTCTTGTCCTCTTTCTTTTACCCCCCTCTGTTGTTTCTATCTATCTGTCAGTCTTGCTTTTTCCCTTGCAATGTGCTTCTTATTCTCTTTAGGTAAAGTTAGCCTCGTTGAATTTGTTCACAACTTATAGCATGGGAAGTCGATGACTGCTTTGGTGTGGTTTGCTCCTTCTTTCCTGTCAAACGTCTGTCATCCTTATCTCTCCTCCTTTTTTGTTTTGTTTGTTGCTCTCGTGTAACATTTCTAATCTTCTGTACTCATATGATCTATTTGTGTTGCAAGTGCTCTAAAACTCTTACTGAAACTAAAACTTTACAAAAATTTATAGCCCATGGCTATAGTGTTCCTTTTGCAGTTTAGATATTAATGAATGTGCTTTCTGAGCATAGAAATGTTAACATGTGAGCATTGTTTACTTTTTGTACAGAAATTCCAGAAGGTGCTCATGACCCTGAAGAGTTGGCAGCTGCTGTTGAGGACGGTGAGTTCACTTTGCTTGTATCTGTGTCACACTTTTCTAAACTGGCGTCTGAGGTGCAGTGGTTAGGGGCTCTACTGTCGCATGCAGGAAACCCATAGTTTGATTCCTGAGAAGGGAGAATTTCTATTAAGTATTTCTGTGTTTCTGCTGGGACGTTGTATCCCTTTCAGCTTGGGTTTGGCCCTGACAGGCAGGGCCGGAAGCTTGCCTCCTAAATGATGTAAATTGTGTTGACGGGGGCAAAAGAACACTTTTATTAAAAAACCTCATTAAACAGCAGTGGTTTCCACATGTCTACTGTCATTTTGTTCATAATAAGTTTACTTTGCTAGTCTTTTGTTACTCCCATGACTATCCACTCTATGTTGTCAGCAGGGTTTAGAATAGGGGTCATCGAGCAGGGATTTGTTGACCTGCAGTTCATTGATAAGATTTTAGTCTTATGTTATTTTATTACCAGGTCTAGCCCTTCGTATGAACTTGGTGTCTGTATGTGTGACGTGTGTATTCTCCAGCCATATTTGAAGAGTTTAACAACACGGAGGTCAAGTACAAGAACCGTATCAGAAGTCGAGTGGCCAACCTGAAGGACTCGAGGAACCCGCAGCTCCGACAGAACGTGCTCATTGGTTTGATCTCAGCTCAGAGGATTGCTGCCATGTCTGCTGAGGTATAGTGTTGCTTGCTATATCTTACTACTATGTCTGCCCAGATATAGTGTTGCTTGCTATATCTTACTACTATGTCTGCCCAGATATAGTGTTGCTTGCTATTTTTTATTGCCATGTCTGCCGAGGTATAGTGTTGCTATATCTTACTATGTCTGCTAAGGTATAGTATTTGCTCAAAACTTTTTACGTCTAATTAAAAACACATTTTAGTTTGGATTTGTACAGAAAAACGTTGATTTAAAAAAATTGCACATTGTCTATTTCCAAGGACTCTCAAGCTGTGGAAGTTACCAAACTTTGGCGGCCATTTTCTCGCTAATTTTACCTCTGAAACCAGTTGACCCCCATTTCCTCCACTCACAAATATCTCGACTTCTATTCAAGATAGATGGGTATTTCTTTCATCAAAAGTAATACAACTGAAAGAGCTTTAAGTTGATACCAATAACTCCATATGTCAAAGAATTGATGAGCGCCTGATTCCACCACGTCGTGACACATATGTTCCTCAACTGGTTCCTTGCTTTTTGTATGGGATGCTTAAACCTTTCTCATGGTTCATATTTTCATAAAACAATAATAGTAATAGGTTAAGGTATTGTAAATACAGTCGCATCTGCTCTAATGGCCACCTGTACAAACAACTACGTCCCACTTTCCCTCTTGCGTTTTATTTTATTTTATGACACTGTCCAAGAGGTCCACCTGTCTAATACGGGATGCCCACTACGGCTGGATCGGGCCGATCGCCCGACTCGATAGCCTGAAACTGAAAACAAACACGTTTGTTTTTGAGGCGATCGAGTAGGGCGATCGGCCCGATCGACCGATCCCATCCGTAGTGGGCACCCCGTATAAGGCAACCACATCTCTCCTCGACAATAGATGGCTGTCTTGGAGACTGTGGTCTTTATTTTTTAATTATCATCTTCATTCAGTTTCATTTTTGGTGCTGTTCTCATAAATGTTTTAAGCTAAAATGCTCTGTCTTTTGTAGTACAGTTGACAAGAGTATTGTTACGACTTTGTGTACATAAATGTAGAAGTCCCATGCCTCCTGTTTTTTCTTCTGGAAAACATAAGGGGATGTTCAAATATAATCTTACACCTGGAAAG